CTATAGTTATCATCTTGTTATTGGTAACAGATCTTAATCGTTTTTGTCTTAGGAAACCGAGATTTCTGCAATCATACTATCTAAGAATATCACACTTTCATTTTTTGGATGTAAGCAAACGTTGATACTCAAATGTTACGCTCACAGGTAGCGAGTCTGAATTTGGTTAACCTTTGAGTAATTCCGTTCTCTTAATTTGAGTCCCGACATTTATTCCGAGAGCCCGTTCGCTCACGATGGCATCCTGTATGAATTTCAGTGTTATTTTTCAACTGGGCAATACTTCGACGACTTTCCGCTGTTTCAATAAGAAACTTTCCCTATTTCATAATGTGCACAATATTTGAATGTGTAAATTGTTATTTACTTGCATTTTGCTTTTTCGACGGTTCATAAAAGCTCTTATTTTCAGAAGTAGAATTAGCTTTCCTAGCGTCGATATCTCAGCATGCATTTTACGTCTTTTAATTCTCAGGGTGCCAAAAAGCGCGTCCTAACGCATGTAACCAAGATGAACCAATTACTAGGAATGTAATAGTCTTCTGCCTATTGCACTCGATGTCCACGTTTACAATGTTAAAATGCGTCTTAAAGACATGTCCCTCAGGACGATCGGGCGATAAATCTTTGCGCTTTGTAAAAGTAGACATAAAGTTTGAATTCATGTCGTGGAGTTCAGGGCGAGAAAAATTGTGGCTATTAATGAATTAAAATGTGTTAATTAAATTGGAAATTATCATTGTTTTCCTTTGTCGAGAGCTACCATTGAAGGGAGATATTCCTACACTCTTCACGAGGAGTTTAATGCTAAAGAAATCCTGTTAGAAACGTGTGAATTCGTGAGCTCTACTATAGACAGCCATGCCGAGCTGCAGTCACGGCTCGACAATTGCCAGTGCAGCGTTGTTGACGGGACAGAGTTGCCAGTCCTGTTATTATTGTGACTGTCCCGAATAGTGGCATTGCGGCCAGGGTTCAGTCAGCATGACCCGGGCGTGAGTTGCATTCTCAGCTGCAAGTTCATGGGGCGCTGTTATTCCGGAACTTCAAGGCGGCTCTAACGGAACCCTTGCCGCGCTTCATGCTCATGCCGGCACTTAGTTGGCCGTTCGGGTCCGACCATATGAAGTATTTTCAAAACGACTCTGTGAAGATTCTCGGGAAATGGTACTATTAAATTCTAGATTTGTATGCATCGTGTTCGACATATTATCAGGCATCATTCGAGAGCTAGTCAAAATTTCTCGACAGTACTCGACGATACTGATTAATTATTTCAAAATTAAGCTCGCTTGCACATGAAATTTTGCCGTGACTTCACTAATGTGACCGAAGTCACGTGTACCTTTGAGCACCAGTGAGTCACTGCCATGTATGCTTTTACTTCCCAGTCATCTTCGTTAAATGTGTTCGCAGGTTTTCCACTGAATGGCTGGGTTTAATTTTTTTTTCGTTGCAATCATTTTAGACATTGTTATATTGTTCTTCCCCGACGTGCTTTACATGCAATGAAAAAGTTAGCGAGGATTCTAATGAATTCATTGCGCACGCTTCTTTATCTGAGACTATCTTACACCTCCCATGCTCTCGACGTTACCTGTACATTAGCATCTCATTAAAGTACTTACCCGGTACTCCGTTTACAAAAGACAAGTGAACTTATTGTGTGTACTATAGGAAGCGTGTAGCGTATCCGGCTTCACAGGTGTTCTGAATTTGTGCTGCTGCCAGGTTAACACCTGCTTCGGCTATTAGGTGCCAGCATGAGTCATTTGACATGATTGTTCGCTGGACATTACGCATTCGCTTTCATCACGCTCAGGCATTCGCTTACTCGAATTTCAGTGATCAATTTCACTCGTAAATTACGCTATTACTTTATTAAACATTTCTCTGCGAATAATGGCTGTTATATGTACGAGTTGAGTAAGTAAATGACTAACGTGCGGCGTCATTTAGTAGCGCTTTGTTGCTGAATGTCGGAAAAACGCCCGTGATTATTATTTAAGAGTACTTAATGAGCTGCTGCTAATCGCGTTCATATGTCACTTGGTAGAAAATCGAGCGAAGTTGTGGGTAGATTACGTGTTTAATTAGAGCTAGTTAACTTAATACATTCCACTTACTCTACAGCAACACGTGTTGGGTTTCGTTTTTATTTCCAAACTTGACGGAAGTAATAAAAAGCAAATGACTCACGTGTGCTTTGTGTTGCAATCGTGTAAGCAAAAGCCCGTTTTAGGCTAAATTATCTTGAAGGATTGCCTCATACTTTTATAGCATTTTAAAGATGATATACTAACGTCGATATTCCATAGGAGGTATTTCTTCGGTGTAGTCCAAAGATCTCCGTAATTTGCTCACAGATCCTACTGATTTTTGATTTCCTTTTTCTTTATTTTATATAGGTACTATATATAATTTTTTGAAATTCCTGATTAATTTAAAACCTCTTGTGCGCTCCTTCTAATTAATTATCATGAATAATCACTCAGCCCCTACGAAATAGCTCGTGCGTGCGTTAACTTATCGCAGTGTTGGGGCGGCGTAAGGCGTAATGTATGAGGTGGGCCGAGCGTGTCGCGTATATGCGCACACCTGTACAGCAACACGACGAACAGCAGCAACAAGAGCGGCGGCAGGTAGACCGACCGACCGACTCACTATCCAGAGAAACAAGTCTGTTGCTCCAGAGCCCAGCGCTCAGTCGCTCGCGAGATCACGTGACGTGTGGTGCAGGAGCGTCGACTCCTTCCTAGGCCCGCTTCGTATCATTAGTCTACGCGCTCAACTTTAACATTCAAACAAAGTGTGTTATCTGTGCATAGCTAATGAAGCATTGATGGATGTCACACCAGCGCTGTGATGTGTAATATAAAGGATACGCGAGACACCGCTTTGCTTTATACGCGTCTGTGAGTGGCTGTGGTAGTGCTGGCGGGTGACCTCACTCCGCTCCTTTTTTTCGTGTGAGCTGCCACCATGGTTGTTCCCTCCCGTGCTGCCATTTCAACTCGCATTCCTTCATGCTTTCTCTTCTGGTGCCCCGGCGCCCTCTCAACGTCTCGTGAAACGCACCTTTCCGTCGTGAAACAAAGTCATGCAATATTTTCCATATTACGTTCATGTCTCTAACTTCGGTATGGGACTGTGATGCCGTAGTCTTTTGTACAGTGTATATACAGTGATGCCTGTTGTCAGCTGTGTGCGCAGTGATGCCTGTTGTTGTCAGCTGTGTACGCAGTGATGCCTGTTGTCAGCTGTGTACGCAGTGATGCCTTTTGTTGTCAGCTGTGTACGCAGTGATGCCTTTTGTTGTCAGCTGTGTACGCAGTGATGCCTGTTGTCAGCTGTGTACGCAGTGATGCCTGTTGTTGTCAGCTGTGTACGCAGTGATGCCTGTTGTCAGCTGTGTACGCAGTGATGCCTGTTGTCAGCTGTGTACGCAGTGATGCTTGCTGTTGTCAGCTGTGTACGCATTTATGCCTGTTGTTGTCAGCTGTGTACGCAGTGATGCCTGTTGTTGTCAGCTGTGTACGCAGTGATGCCTGTTGTTGCCAGCTGTGTTAACATTTGTTAAATAAAAACGTTTTTCGGCATTTCATCATTTAAACTGTTTATTCTTCTTCAAGAAATGAATGTTTTAATTTCAATGCTATCACTATATGAAAAAGTTTTCTCTATTGATCATTGATGCTATCAATCTTCAATTTTCACGCCCATTTATTATATACTTCCACACATTTGAACATCTCGCGCCGCATGTTCACATTCTTAACCAATCTAACGAAATGAACTCGACCGCATCAAACAAGATAATTACTACTTGACGACTGCGCAAAGTTTTTGAAAGTTCATTTTTTAAAGAAAACTATCTTCTTTTGAGGGCATTTTCAACTCCTATTCTTGAATTGCGGACCTATATATACCTGGTCCCATTTTTTATTCTCGTGTCCACCTCCTTTTCTGGTGATTCGCAATTTTGAAATTTGTTGGAAATCTGAGTGATATTTTTTATGGACGTTTCACATACCACACATTCCTCTCTGTGTTTTGTCTTACACATTTTAGTATATCGAATGTTTCAATGTTTTTCATATATATTTATTACTTATCTTTTGCGTTTTCCGTCCATTTCACTCTCTGCTTCGTATTGCTATTTCATGTCTTTGTCTTTCTAGTTTCTAGCTCGCCGTCTTCGTTCTTTGAAAAGTGTTATTTTTACACTCAGATTCTAATTTTTAACTTTCTTCTTCGTGCTTCAAGTTTGTGCTTCGTTTCTTTTTTCCTGATCCACGGTTTTGCTTCGTTAATCTCTGCGCGCTTTACGTTTGTTCCCTGTTCACCTCGTCCGTGTTTCACTCCTGTTCCCTGTTCACCTCGTCCGTGTTTCACTCCTGTTCCCTGTTCACCTCGTCCGTTTTTCACTCCTGTTCCCTGTTCACCTCGTCCGTTTTTCACTCCTGTTCCCTGTTCACCTCGTCCGTGTTTCACTCCTGTTCCCTGTTCACCTCGTCCGTGTTCCACTCCTGTTCCCTGTTCACCTCGTCCGTTTTTCACTCCTGTTCCCTGTTCACCTCGTCCGTTTTTCACTCCTGTTCCCTGTTCACCCTGCGTTGCGTGTTTGTATCGCATAGCACCGCGGGAAGGCGCGTGCGCACGCAGGCCTGACCTTTGCTGCGCGGTGCCCCGCTCACCTTCACTGGAATGCGCTCGCTGATGTTTAACTGCTCACGCACTCGACACTCACACCATCGACTTGCCGATACACGCGCCCGTATCATGTACTTGCTGTAGCGCGTGTCACGGTTCATGGCTAAATGCCAAGCAGTCTTGACCACTTCACCTCCACTTCTCAAACTTGAAACTCTTTCTTGGATGATTCATGTAGGTAATTAAAGTACTGGCTCCTCTCTCTATATCTCATAGTTTGAAAATAAAATTGTTGTTCATGAAGGATTAATGAGTTTTTGTATGTTCTTCATCTTTGTTAGATTGTATGTCACGACGTTCAACATAAATATGTGAAAAGTTTTAAAGTCATTGTTGATACGCCCTTTATGTGTTGGAATTCGAGGACCGGCGTGTCAGAACATATTGTTCTTTGCCTCAAGGCATGTGTGTAGGCGTGCAGTAGAATAAATGTGATTTATATGGATTCTTCGGATGATTTTTGTAATTTAAATTGATCAAATAATATTAAGAAGATGCCAAGTCGTGGCTTCTTCTCGTGGGGTAAAAGTCGCCCACAAAACGATGTGGTGGAGCCCAAGGTGACGAATATCCAGCCACGTGAGCCTCGAGAATTTCATCGCCAGCCTCCCGGTGTTTACCACGGGCCTAAGCGGAGTGCTGCATCGCCTTCCAACAGCCATAACGGAAAATCCGGGACTTCGTTTGTCCGAGCTTCATCCCAGAATGATTTGAATAAACCCATTGAAACCAACTCGAAAAGACCTCACCGCAATGGCTCCCAATTTAGTTCTCCTCTGCACAACATGCCGCCGTACATGCACAATATTCCGCCACATCTTTTACCTCACTTTCAGCCCCGTAACCATGTTGGTCACAACACCAGACCTCACTCCGTGTACTGGGACCAACATAATTTCCCTCCTCAGTTGCTCAGCGATGACAGACCTGGCGGCAGGTACATAGATAACAGCCTGCCTGGACACATGAATCAGCAGCGCTATAGCTCCACCTTTGACGTGTCATCGAGGAATCCTCCTAAAACTAATGAAAGAACTGCTCAAGTTCATCCTTTTAACCACAAGCACAGCAAAAACCACGTGAGTTCATCGGCTGTCGACGTGAGATACCACAGCAGGGATAATTTGGTTGATGGCGGCCCGGTACACAAAGATCGCAAGTCCGAGAAGACGAATAACGTGAGTTCCGGTCCACCTGTAGCGGAGACTGACCCTAGCTCTGCCATTAGTACATTACCCCCTTACTGGGTTGCTAACGAACAAATCAATGATTCCACTATTAATAGCAGTAAAGGTAAATATTCCAAGAGTAAAAATGCTAAAAATAAAAGTAAAAAATCTGAGAAGACTAAGGAGAATAAGAATAAGAAGGATAAAAAATCAAAGAAAAGTGAAAAAAGTAATTTAAGTCATGAAAAGAAAGCTAAACTATACAAAAGTCACGAGGAACTGAGATCGTCCTATGATCACGGTATTCAAATGCAAACTATCGAAGACATGGAAAGAGTTATGGCAATGGAGAAGCAGAGAAACAGAGACGGCGGTCTAAAGCTTGGAAAATTAGAGAAGGCCAAGACACTTGAGAGGCTTGATAACATTGAGAGTATTGACGACGACGAAGATGATGGTTACTTCTCAAGGAGAGATCGTGGCCTGAGCTACAGCACCGACTCTGACAGACGAAGCACCCATGAGATGCGTGAGATTGACACCACGGAGCATCACTGGATAGAAGAACAAGAACGCATGAGGCGCAGTGTCGAGAACATCGCGTTCAGAAAAGCCGAGCTCAAGGTTGTGCCATCGCCCAAAGCCCTTGACTACGATGACGGGTCTACGTTGTACGCCCATAATCCCACTGTTGAAGTGACCTTATGTGATACCCTGGATGGCAGGCAGTCTCTCGTAAGGGACGACAAGAAAGTCAAAGAGCGCTTGGCCCACGAGGAGGCCGCACGTCTCCAGCAAGACCAGCAGGAAGTACTGGAGAGGGAGGCTGCTCTCGCAAGTGACGCACGAAAGAAAGACGAGGAGAGGAAGCAACATGAGTATCAACTTAACCAGCTGGTGAGTGACTATTAGTTTATGGTTACATGTTAAATTGCGATGAAAGTAGCATTTTATGCGGCCAAAAAACAATCAAAAAACAAAGTTCACCAATAACGATTGTATAATTTTTGGACGTCATCATCATGGACGTGCGTAGACGCATAATTTGCTATGTTGCCCTACGTTATATTTTGTGACGTGCCAGTTGGCGAGGCTGCGAACTCTGAGCGCTAGTATGACTTCCGTGTAACTTGTATGCATTAAATTATGCCAGCGCCACCATCGGGAGCAAAGGTTAATTCCGATATCTGTTGAGATATCGGAACTTGATTTTACTTCGCGCGTTTCTCTACATTGTCCAAGCATGCTTTAAATTTCTCCTTCTTCACATAACTGTAAAACGGACTCGAACTTTGTTATTCAAAGTGTTAATGTTCATCCATCAAATTTCAGTGCAGCACTGTTGACAAGTGAATTAAACGCCTCATAACTCTAAGAATTTAAAAGATTGCTATTTTCGTCAAATCAATGCTTCATTTTGCCCTTGCTATGTAAAGCTCGGGAGTTCATAGCCGGCTTTTAGAATTAAGCGGTTTAGTGGTTCGTGGTTAAAAGCTTGTAACGTCGAAGCGCCAAGCATTTAAGGTCTGGATTAGGTGAGCAACGCCTTACGTATTCGACTGGACACCGCAGCTGATGACCAGTGTTACCTCCCGCTTTGCTGTGGTCAAGCGAGCGTTGACCGCGCAATCTTTAGTGAACACCGAACTTGAGTGTTTTCTCCTATGTGGAAATTACCGCTTTTTCCCTTTGAAGAGTGTTACCTGTCATGGTTCCAATGTGAATGGTATTGCATAACATTGCAATATGTTCCTTGTTGCTTGCAATGCGGGAAAAAATGTTTGTAGTGATCTCTTCTATATCGTAATATCTTTTGTGGTTGTCGGCTTTCTGTATTATTCACGCCAACAAAGTTCTAATTAAGGGTTAATAACTCATTGTTTTTCCCTCCCTGTACTGTACCTTCATTAATTGCACACGTGTGTTATCACGTGGATCCCACGCATGGTTTGCAATGTTGTTACATTTTGCCACTAAAGTAACCTCCATTGCGCGGCGGTTGATGAACCCTTGCTGGAGCTTTGACGTCCACTCCAAGTTTTTGCTGAAAATTCGTGCAAGTGGTTTTTTCGTCAACGACGCGCATTGCTTCAACGATCAATCACATTGTCAGTGGTATTTTCCATCGTTTCAATAATTGTTTCTTGTCATAAATACTCATGTGGTTGCATTCACTATCTGAAATCTGTCCAATTTCACATAACTTCTGTCTGTGAAATAAAATTTTAGTTTCTCCATCGTAACAATTGTGATGAACTCGAAACAGAGTCTGATTTAGCTTTACTCGAGTAGTGAAACGTGAAAGGTGACCAATTTTTTTCAATGTTTTCAAATGAAACATTGAAAATTTTGAATGTCCGATTGCAGAACGTCCGGCTAGTAAATGCGACTTAGACGCGAATCCAGTGGAAATTATCGCAATATAATATTATAGCAACTAAAACTTTTGCTGCAGACCAGGGGCCATACTTTCAAAACTCGCTAAGTGAACGTAAGTACTTACGCTCTAGTTTCTTGTCTATGATTGCTGGATTTTGCTTGAACGGCCGTCAATGATTGGCTGACGAACTTACGATATCTTAACTTTTTTTGAAAGTATAGGCCCAGAGTGTTGGATATTCTCCATGTACTTGCAACACTCAATGGCGACCTTGCATTCATGACGGAGTGACCAAACGCCCTCGAGTTGCAACACTTCTCGGTCCACTTGAGGTGAAGCTGCGCCGCTTTCACGCATATCTTAGCTCCTGTTCACTCCTCAGATTGCTGCGCGTTGCCGATATCTTTGTTTCTCTAATGTGGAACTCCTGCTTTCTATTGCTTAGCATGTATAGGCCTCGAACCTACACACTGCAGAGACGCGGGGTAGATTCCTGACGCACTCTAGAGTGCGTGTAGTACACACGTGTGCTGCACAGGTCATTTTATTCCCTTACTTTTGGATTGTGCTTATTACCGCTGATCAACACTCGAAATTGTAATTGACTGAATACTCCTCCTACTTTCAGTGGCTTGCTAATGGCATTCGTGAAATATATTTTTTTAATATGAGAAAAATCTCAGGCTAATAAGCGATTTATTTAGTTTCGACTCGTGTTAATGAAAGTTTTTTATACTATGGATATGGCTGAAAATGCTTGGTACGCTATTTCACTTGTTTTAGAGCTAACCTGATTTGCTGGACTTTTAAAATCTATTGGGACCGCTAACCATTGATTCAATACGAGTGATTTTTCTAAAATTTTCTATACTTGGGACCGGGATGAGGTTTTCCCTAGCAATAACGACTCCCGGACCTGCTCTTCTGCGCCGTCGGGTCTGCTGCTCCTATAAATGTCAGCTCGGCGAGCGTGTAATTCGATTTTGTCGTTGAAGCAGCGCCCTTTATTTATGGTTTACTGGGACTAGGGATTTATTTATAGTTATGAATCTAGGCTGTTATAGGATTAGCTTCGCGTGGCATTTCCTGCTGACGTTTTCCACAATTTGCTCATGCCGCAAGTATGCCGTAATGGCAGTAAGCGTTATTAAAAATTTCGACCTTTATCGCATGCTTGATATTGTTCATGATCAGTAGGATTGTAAATTCTTAAATAATTACTAGTACGTGAAACGATATGACGATAGTATGTTATAAATGTAATACAGGAGACGAAGTTATCTGCTCGCCAAATCCGAAACAGTGTCTTTTAATTATCTATATCAGATGATAATAATCACGTTTGATGGATCTTCTGTGACTGTATCTTAATACACAAGAAGTTAGATTTTTTGACTGTGCTATTAAATTGTAAAAAAAACCTTGGCATAAATTTTGCATTAATTTAAAATATATTTTTACGCCTTCTGTGTTTATAATCCGGATTATTTTGATAAAATTAGTTATTTAATTATTAAATTTCCAATGATAATGAAACGAAGTTTGATGTATCTGTTTAACATGGTCTTATCACTGAAAAATTAAATTAGGCAGTCTTAAGTTTATTCATTGCTATTATAGCTTTCACTCTTTCTGCCACGACGCGTTTTTCCGCGTTGACGGCGTGAAGCTATTCCAGTTTCATCCTTTCATTGTACAATTATTAACTAGGCTATGATTTGAAACGACCGCAATTATTATTATTGGCATCTATGTGATTTCTAAACGGAAATTATTTTCGAATAGTTTACCTTTACCTTTACTATAATTTACCTTTTATAAATGTGAACATGATTGCAAAACTTATTTTCCTTCTTTTACTCTATTGACACCCATTAACGGTGCCCATGCGAAACGTTGCACCTATGCCTATGAGAAAAGTTTGAAATGAATATTGTTGTATTTTTAATTTATCGTGCATTCTCGAATACCCAGCATGTGCCCCTTCACAAGTAGCACGAGATGACGAACTTCATTGATCTGTTGTCGAAACCATGGGGAACCATGAAATGAAGTACTCGATTTAATGTTGACGTTGACAAACCAAACGATTGACGAAAAAACGCTTGCAGTCTTTAGGATCGTTGAGCACGATTGTTTGGCAGTTTTGTGTTCGTGTGTCAAAACTCGACGTGCGATATTCACTCAGAGACCCTTTCTTGATACTGAAATGATGAGCCGAAAATTGAGAAAATTTCTTATTTGTTGTTTGTGTTGACGCGTTCTGAGTTTTGACGTAAAATAAGCTATGTGAATGGATGAGTTGTTGTTTATCGAACCTGTTGTTTGATCGAGTCGAGGCATACAACTAGTACATGCAAAGAAGCGCGTCTGCTGGAATACACGATGCGATGTATACGTGCTGCTGAAGCATCACTTCTGTCGGCAACATCATTCTGGTGCGGGAGATTTGCTAACGTCGAGCCTGAGGTTCAACGCTCGCCAGTTCGTATCGCTCGCCTCTGAAGAAGCTACACACAACCTCTGTTTACTCCTGCATCGTGGATAATTATAATCAACTGTGTGGTGCGTTCACTTGGTTTGCATTGTTTGCTTGGCTTTGACTTCGTATGGTGTACAGTCTACCAGTCAAATTGGAAGTTAGAAATTATTCAAGGATTGTCTTATATTCACTAAAGGTCGGGTGTCATACATCGATGTTGATCTTGTCTTACCCAAAAAATTGTAATGATGTAATTTCTATTTTTTAATTTACCGTACAACTATTTTATACCTTTGTCCCGCGAATACTTTATAATACCCAACAACTGATACTGGGCATTTGTTGTATTTTCTATAATGTACATTATTTGCGTAACGTAATCTCGTAATTAGTTCATTTGTGTGGAAGATTTATCAGCGTAGAAATCACTGGCTGAACATTCAACACGCGTCGCACGCACAGCTATGCTCGCCAAGTTCCAGGAGGCACCCCTGTATGCCCATTATAGACTTCCACGCGAGGGCGCCAAGGAATTTGGGGTTGACTTTCTTTTCTGCATTGCGTACGTGGATTGTAAGCTTCACAGCTTGCATAAGCTGTAGTGAGAGGCGCTCCGTGTGCTCTGCAAGGCCTTGCTGCGTAGTGCGTACCCCACTGAACTCGGTACTTTCAACTCGTACAATTCCATGCCACACCTATTACTGATAGATAGACTCCGTATGATCTCTCTTTTACAACACTTCTCTTTAACTTCACTTCTTGTCTGTTTGTTTGTTTGTCTGTCTGCTACAAATCTTATAATCAATATTTAACACACTTCTACCTGTCCAATTGATCTAAAAATTTGCCACACTTGCGTAAAGTTGGAGACAATGCGTGAATCAATTAACAGAATATATAATTTTAAAATTAAAAAATTTTCTTTTGTAATTTGAAAAATTGAAAAAATAATTTTTTCTTCTACAAATCTTGTAATCGATATTCAACACACTTCTACCTGTCCAATCAATCTGAAATTTTGCACACTTGACAAGG